ACGCTATGAAACATGGTTCACAGGAGCAACCTTAATTGAAATAGGTATACACGGCAATGAAAAGCACGAGCATTTTTAATCTTTTGATGATTTCACGGCAATCTGCCGCCCTTGTTGTTATTGTAATTGTCTGCCCTTCCATCTGGTTTTGCCCTGTTTCCATGTTTATGTTTGACTTTTTTTCAGCATTGAATGCGACGATGCATGTGCTCTCCATGAACGCAATAGGTTGGTTATCTTCACTTATTTCTTTTTTTTTTTTTCAATGATATTTCTTTTTAAAAATTCCCAATTCTTGTTTTCCACTTTCTTTCTTATACTCCCCTTAAATATATGAGTCATGCGAGACATTTGACTAATCCTTTGTTTTTTGGTTATTGATAGTGCCACTTTTGTTGTTTATATTATTTTGTCAGACGTCTTGCTGAAGCTCTTAATATTGAGAATGCTGATCGGTCCGCTTATCAAACAGTCCGCTTTTCACCATTTCTTGTGGCTGAGGCAAAGTTAGTATAATACAATTATTTAAATTTTTTTTATTATTGTTAAATAGCTTTCTACTGATAGTCTGACTGACAAGACTGACCCCTGATTAGCATTAAGTCTGCCACTAGATGCAGATTTTAATGGTAATAAACTTCATTCCTCGCATTGCAGTAGGAACGAAGTGACCCTGCTAGTTATCATAAATGATCTTATTGACACTCCCTCTCAAATAAACGTCATTCAATTTATTCTGTTTGTTGCTTGATTATCAATAGTTTGTGTATTGCATCTTATTCAATGTCAAGTTTGAAATAAAGAGAGGCTAATTATGACAACACAATGACCCTGAACAAGGATTCTGACCTCGGAGTTGAGGTTTGCCTGACAGCGATATGGATTAGAGACGGCCAAGACGTATCAATGGGTGAACTGGATAATCTGCTATTCGTTAACTCTCTTTGTATTTTCGCTGATGAATATTAGTTTGGATGAGCTTGTCACAATTGTGAGAACAAACGCCTCCTATCAAAGTCCAGGGCGTCTATTAGTTCACTTTTAGTATGTTTGTTCAAACATTCGCTACAGCTCGCACTGCAAAAGGGAGAACCGGCTGGCCGTATATGTGATTTTGGAAATTTTTTTAACGGTTTAGCTAAAAGCCCACGCGTGCTTCGATCGTCCTGAATATTGAATGAGTGCAATTTGTGTTGCAAAATTGTGAAATACTGCATTCTGTCCGAGGTCTGTATGATAAAAACAGTACCTCATAGTAGAGTTAAGCTCCAACATAATAAAGGAATTATTATGTTTATTTTTTATTTAATGGTTTTATCGATGTGTAATCTTTAAAAGCGTTTGATACGCGCGGCATTTTGAGTACTCCTGCAAGCGATGTTCACTGAACGACTGAAAACAAACGGCACAGCGATTAAAATTACAAGAGAGACTACCAACAATCAATAAAAGAAATATAATTCGATGAAACATATACAGAGACAACATTTTTCATTCACGAAGACAAGTATTAAAGTGTCTCTAAAAATCCTGAGTCTTCAAGCTTAAAGCTTAAGTTTATGTTTTAAGCCGGCTTCCCGGTATTTACTTTTTCCCAAGATGAACTTGAGGAAAGAAAATCGCTCAAAGCTTTCTTTTACAGGCAGAATTATAACTAAATGTTCTTTGGAACGTTTTTTTTCTATAAGGCGTTTTAAAGTTGTGTAAGCTTATATCAAACCTGATTCTTGGTGAGATCAAATTGTCTCAAATCGTACAAACGTGCATAAACTACACAGCCGCAAAAACTGCGCTCGACTTCATTAAATTAGATATAGAAAACAAACATCAAACACAATAATTACTGAGGCTTACCATTCGAGATGCAGCTCCTGAAAGGTATCAAGTAAGGCCAGTATCGCTTCAGACTTTTCAACCCTTACGCTTCAAGCAAGGTGAAAAACGTAAACGATGCCATCTGAAATCGGATTTCCGACTTTGACAAGTGATGTACTAATGTCTCAACCAAAAACCAACTAGCCATGAATAACAGAAGACTCCTGATAGCAGCTGAATTTCATTTTGTGCATCCAGTGGAAAAAGACAGTTAAAAACATCATTAGTTGGCACAAAACTCTGTTAGCTTCAGCTGTCAAAGTAAACAAGATTCAAGATGCTGCATAAATTTTCTCCATGAGCTCACCTGTCAAATTTTGACCAATCAAAGCATAAAAAATGGACGTAGAGCGTGACCAACGCGTGACCATGGTGAGCAACGTCAAAAGCAACTGTCTCCCCCGCCTGTAATAGCTGGCTGAATTTTCGGGTCCGAGGTCAGTTTTAAATCAAAATTTTATTTGTGCGGCACAAAAACAAAACATATTTCGTATGAATGAAAAAAATAAAACTTTAGCGTGCGATCTTTTTTAAACTAGTAACTTGTCAGCGGATAACTGCAAAAAATACTTGACCTCGATGGGTCAACACCTGAGCCCGCGATACGGTCAAGTGATACTGGTCA